CCCTCCCTCCCAAGCCCACCTGTTCCATCTTTGGCCAGTTTAGATGGTTGAAACCCACACGTCACTGTAGCTTCTACCCCTTCGTTCCTGCTCTTTCCTCTCAGGCCTCCCAGATTTCTCTAGGCTGGCATCTCAGTGCTGATTTTCAGACCCTGACTTCTAGTTTCTTCATCTTTACCCACAGACTACTCTTAAAATTAGTTGTCTCCATTCTATTCTCATGCCTTTGGAATCTCAAGAAGCCAGTAGAATCTTAGAAATTATTTGGTCCTGTTCCCCCATAGATGAGGACGCTCAGAACCAGAGAAGTTAAGAGAGCCCCAGGTTCCATAGCAAAATCCAGACTAAACCCAGGACTGCTGTCTCCCAAGCCAGACTGTCATCCTAGCCCAGCCTTAGAAGGGCTTCGTGAAGGATTAGAAGGAATTGATATGAAGTCACTCATCACTCTTTATGGGAATATTTTTTCTCAAATGGTGAAACCAAAATCAGAAGGTAACATTTTCAAATCGTATTTCATTTGCGTCATTACCCTCATGAATGGAGTAGTCTGGCTAAAGGAGAATCAATGACCCCGCACCCAAAAGTGCATTGTTTGGTCTGGCACCAAGTCTTCTTTCTGTCAAACACTGTCAACTCTGAGAATGCTTTCATGTGAAACCAGACTTTCAGAGATTGGCATTCACATTTTTAAAATCTGCCATGTGCAGCCACAGTGCAGGCCAAACAAAATGCATCTGCAGGTCAGATGCAGCCCAGAGGTCACCGAATTGCAACCTCTGGACTCAGAGGCAGCCTTTATCCCCAGGATGTCATAGTCCCTCCATGTCCTCCCCTACCCTAGGCCAAGAACAACTAAATGGTCAAAAGGTGGAAAAAATGAGAGGCTTGTTTGTATCTTCAAGGCCTTCAGCCCTTGCACTGTGTTGCTCTCCTCTCTCTCTCTTATCAATTCTCCCTTTCTGAAATTATTTGCTCGGGGTATAAATGTCCATGACTGGCCTTAAGCGTGCTGGTAGGGCAAGCAGAGAAAATACATTTTACATGGAGCAAAGCCTCATGCTAGAGCAGCGTTTCTCAGGCCTGGCTGCACATTAGAATCACCTGGAAGCTTTAAAAGCTACCTATATACAAGGGCCCACCCCCGGGAGTCAGACTTAATTGGTTGGGAGAGGGGCCAGGGCATCATTTGTGTTTCAGAGTTCCCCTGGTGACTCCAGTGTGCTGAGCGTTGAGGTCAACAGGCAGGTGAATATGTAGGCTAGAAAGCGAACAACAAAAAAGGGGTTTACATGCACAAGTGACCTTGCATGCTGAGTAATGGGAACTGTGTTATCGTCGTAACGCTGTTCAAGTTTACTGGGCTCCCGCCTGCAGTTTAGAAGACTTTCTCGTTGCAGCAAGTCTCCAGAGTGGAATTTGCTTCAGGAAATCACCCAGTTCTTGAGTTGGGGGCACATTTGCTAATATCTGGGGCGGGGCAGGGATGAACAGCAGCCTCTGAAGCATTTTTAGCATCTGGTGGCAAGCTGTCCAAAACGCAACCGCAAATCAACATGAAAATTCGTATTACGGTTCATAGATGGGAGTTCTGAGCAATGCTCTCTGTCTGGTAGTTGAGTGTAATTATTTATGATGGAGCTAAGGAGTGAACTCAAGAGTGTTAACGTGAAGCAGAACCAACTTAAAAACAGTCTTTTAGAAGCCTTATCGGCCCTGCCTAGACACTTCAAAACAGCTGCGCTGATTTCCAGATGGCCTCATGATACTAAAGCAATTCCACGGCACGTGAGCGCGCAGGAGGAAAACGTGCCTGGGGGAGGCCTGACTCTGCAAACCAAACTACCATCAGAAGGCGGTTTTAGAATCTGCTCCGTGGACTGTCAGGATTTTTTAAATTCTAGGCTCACCGTCTAGTAGAGGGAAAGGACCTCCAACAGGGAGTTGTGAACTGAGATGTGCAAGATGTTCCGGGGGGTCTCATGTTGATTCTGACATGGTGACGTGGTGAGACCCCATGCGCGAGGGGCGCCAGCCCTCAGAGAAGATACAAGAGCTGAGGGGCAGACCTTGGGTAGCTTTGAGAGAGGCCTCAGGCCCTTGTGCCATCATCCGGTGTTCTGCAGGGAAGTGGACATCAATTATGCTGTCCCTCAGTTCCGGCCAGCTAAGAGGTGAAAAGGAGAAATTCAGGTAAGAGTGCGGCTTCTTTCTGGTGTCAGATGGTGTGGGCGTGTAAGCTCGGAGGGCAGGGTGTGCCTCTAAAAGCAGAGTATCTATCCAGAGCTGAGCTTCTCAAAGTGGGGTCCTGGGGCCACCTAAATCAGAACCACAGATGACATTCTACCCCAGGCCTCACAGATCCAGTTCCTGTGAGGTAATTTTAAGCACATTAAAATTATGGAACCAGAAATCTAGAGCCGTAAGATTTTGTTATTCTCTAGACTTCAACGTCAGTTTCTTACAGCATGGCCTTTCTCAGCTGCCCTTTAGCCTGTCTTGGTGGCAGCAGTCATCGGTAAAAACCCCCCAAGGGGTGTCCTTCCAGTGCCAGTAGTGGAGTTTCTGGGTCTTGCTTTTGTTAAGAAAGGTGGTACTTCTTAACAAGATGGGTATCAGGTGAAGGGGGCTAATACAAACACAACAGAGAGAGGGAAGAGAATAATTCTTTCCCAGGAAATGTGGGAGAGCTGCTCTGAGACCCTTCCTAGAGGTCTATAAAAGACAAGTTGCTGTCTCCATCAGTATTCAAGAGCTTTTAGCATCCATACTCTCCCAAAATAAGACACGAGACTCTTGGCTTTAAGCCCCAAGATGCCAGGCAGCCTGTAATCGAAGAAGATGGCTTAATCATGCTTCTTTTCTGGCATATGACTCACTGCAACCACACCTCACCCAAAACGTGAGGTGGCCAGGTTTCTCCACCAGATGTGCCTTGGGTGATTGACTTAATACAGCCATTAGTAGTGAATGGTCCTGTCTTCACCACACTGGCCTTTGTTTTTACCTTTAGCTAATGTCACATTGCCCTTTATTCTGCACTTCTTACCTTTAAAAAAAAAAAATCCCCCAAATTATCCTTATATTACTATCAATGCCAACTAGATCCCTATCAAAGGACAGTCAAGCTTAATCGACCACATTAAATCTGCAGAGTGTTTTTATGTCACTGTCTATTCCATTAGCTTTGACATCACTCTAAAGTAGGACAGCATGTTCCAAACAAAAACTGAAACCGGAACATAAGAGCTTTGCTGGTGTAGCTTGAAGGGAGGGTTACAAGCCTGGCACCTGGCCTCTGAAACTTTTCAATAAGATATAGGCTAAAATGTACCTAGCAAAGTCACAAGGCTCAAAGTAGGGTATGAGCAGAAAAATATTTTTTTAAAGCACATGGGGGCACCATTCCTTAAGGACTCATCCTTTCTAATCAGTTGTGCATGTTCTTTGTTCCTGTCTCCCTGGTACTATATTTAAAATGATGATGGTAAAGCTTTCTGAAACGTTTTCAGAAGATGGCCCAAG